CTTATGAAAAGCTTGAAAGCATTGTAATGAAGAAGCAAATCATTGAAGATGTAAGAAAAATGTCCCCAGAGGCTCAAACAAGCTGCCTGGAGGGCTTCCATTCCACTTTGAATTACTGGCATCCCAAAATGATTTGTTTCTCATGGCTGGGAACATACTGTAGGTATGAAAAAAAAATTAAAAAGTGATATTGAAATTAAGCTTTATTTTTGTTTTGGATGAAGAGTTCAGCCGACATACCCCTTCCTACATATCACATGATCATACATGTAGTTTCTGGAACGTTTAACCAGAAACCAAGTGGAGACCGGCTGACAAGTTTTGAAAAAATKAGATAAAGTACACACTTTTACACATTACCATTTTATTGCCATATTTGTTATTTTTGTTACCATCATGAACATCTTGCCTATAGCAAGCACAGAAAAAAAAAAACAATGATATTGTGATTGATGAATAGCAGCTAAAGATGATGTGAATCTCAAAGACAAAATCTCAGAAATGAACATATGATTATTTATCAATAATTTATAATAATTTTTCTAACTCTAGAACTATTTTGGCCATTCTTCACTTTAATGAAAATTTGCAAAGGACAAAACAAACAACAAAAGATGGCAGAACCTATGTAAGGGTGGTTTACCCAAAGTTCAAAAAGGGAGAAGAAATAGTACGTGAGATTGGAATTCCACCTACNTAATAGTTATTGCCTACTTCTACCACAGAGAGACCAAAATTCACATGGAAAGTCTGATGATGAAAATGAATGTGATGTATCTTCAGAAAGTAACAATGAAGATGATGATTATAAAACAACAGAAAACAATGAAGAATATGGACAGTACCCAGACGATGACGAATCAATGTGTGAATCCTTAGACAGTGACTGGACTGCAATGGAAGAAGATACATGTAGTGGGTCTGATGAAGAAAGTCAGCCGAAATATGAACAACTTTTTGAGTAAGTTTTTGCCATGTACAGGGTGATTATAGTCATAAAAGCACTTGTATATATTCTGGGTTTTATTATATATAATGTATGCTATTATGCAATATATATAATGTATGCTGTATGCTATCATGCAAATGATATGCAATCACTGTTATCATTTCASATATGCCTGGTTTTACTGCTATATTATTGTCAGTTTTTTTTAATGTTTTCTATTTCTGCTGTTTCAGTGTGAAGCCTGACACCAAACCACAAAATGAACCAAAGTTCATAGTATTCTACTCTATGCTTCTGAAGCTATTTACAATGTTCTGCTTTAAATGCCGAGGTGGGAAACCCTCAGTGARATTCCAAAAATCTGGAACCATGGTAACCATAAAGCAGAAATGTAATGAYWGCCTGCAATCATTTGAGTGGGACAGTCAGCCCATYTCATCACTTGGAAAGTATCCATTGGGAAATGTGCTATTGAGCTTTTCTATRCTGATGGCTGGAGCARCTATCAGTAGGATTATGCTTGTCTTTAGACACTTTGGTCTTTGTGTGTACAGTTTGAMAAKATACTTTGCTCACCAAAGAAAGTTGTTGTTCCCAACTATTCTACATCATTGGGAAATTCAGACCAAAAAAATGGTTCATCAACTAATGAATGTTAAAGACAACTTTTGGAGTGGTGATGGAAGGTTCGACTCCATGGGCCATTCTGCAAAGTTTGGGACATACTCAATGTTCAGCTGTGATCTTTCCAAGGTTGTGCATTTCCAGTTATTACAGGTAATTATTCAAAATAATTATWATAATTATTCATAATAGCCCAGATTTTGTGGTTGTCTTGCTAGTTCGTCTTGAAGACTGTCGTTTTYTTGACTACTGTTTGCAACAATAATGTTTGAGAAAGTTTATAGTGACCTTAATTTTCCAGGCAAACCAGGTAGGAAGCAGTCAGGCTATGGAGCTCGAGGGTGCCAAAAGATCTTTTGCATTTCTTTCAAGTCTTGGCTTGAAAATTAAGAATTTCATTTCTGATCGGCATAGAGGCATTGCAAAGTGGATCAGAGATACTCAGCCGAATACCCAGCATTACTATGATATCTGGCATATTGCCAGATCAATAACTAAGAAAATGTTAAAGGCCAGCAAGGAAAAAGGGCTAGAGTGTCTCAAAGATTGGATGAAATCAGCTAGAAACCATCTATATTGGTGTGTTACAAGTACACGACTAAACTTCCAGGATTTGATCCAAGCGAAATGGGAATCTTTCATTCGACATGTCAGCAACAAGCACCATAAGCATCCATCAATGTTGTTCCCAAAATGTATCCATGAGAACTTAAAACAACCTAGAAAATGGCTGAAAGTTGGTAAGTTGTTT